TTGGATTTGTCTGTGCATGTTTTTTTTACTCTCATAGATTTTGTTACCATTGCCATGCATTATACGACTGATAGACTGCAACGGCTGGACTTAAAAATCATAATTTGTGTTCTACTGAAGAAACAAAGTCACCTACACCTTGGATGCCCTGGGGGGTAAGCAGATAAACATCAAATTTTCATTTTTGGGTGAACTATCCCTTTAACCTCAAGCGATGTCTATTAATAAACATAAAGAACCCATTGTTACCTTCAGTGCTGGAGTCCAGCAGACTGTGGGTGAAATCCTGGCTTTGCAAAATCTTCTCAACTACGTCATCGGCATCCACCCGTGTGGCATCCACTCTTTTCAGCTGAGACTCCATTGAATCCTGTTTCACTGGATACCTTGTATATATGGGAAAATAAACCTGATAAATCTACATTTATTTAATTTCCTGAATCTAAAGCTTGATGAATATAGAGCAGGCAGTGGTAGCAGTGTCTGTCTGACCTGTTGGCAGCTCTGTCAGGGGTTGATGGGTGTTCAGGCACAGCAGCGCAGACCCCCGGGGCTGTAGGGGGTACTGTAGTTTGGTCACTCTCCTCACTGGGCTCAGGGATGCTAGCAATGCCGGTGGAAGCGCTCCCGATCGAAGTGTTCCTCCTGTGGGAGAACTCCGACAGACTGGAGGAACGTGAGTGACTTGTACTATAGCCTGAGAAACAACACAACATTGTTTTAAATTATTATTCTTTTTTTTTTTTTAATGAAAAGTTGATCTGCCCTGGTAATACACATCATGCACTTTAAAACCTTCACAGATTAATCAATCAATCACTTTGTACTGAAGGGACATTTAACGCCGCCCCCCCACACATACTATTCAGGTTTCCATCAGCTTTAGAAAGTGATAACGCTAGTATGGGCAGCTACTGGAGGGAATATCCTCCCACACATGTATACGCACACAACAACTCCAGTTTCCAGTCAGAGACAGATATGTGATGAACACTTCTGTTTGCTTTGTGGGACTTTAAAAATAACTACACTTTGAGATGAACTAACACAAAAGGTCAAAGTGAGCAATGTGTAACCCAATCTGAGAGAACAGCTTAATGAAATAAGGACAGAGTGCTGTCTCCTCTCTGGAAGTACTAGAGGAAGTAGTGTTATAAAATTAGATCTGGGACATTTAATCCAGCTACTGTGTGATGGCACTGACTCCTTCTAAAAGCCTAATTTCAAATTATTTAATAAAGCAAGTAGCACTTTCCATAAAAGGGGAACAGAATAGGGCCTGAAGATCTTAAAAATTAAATTTTTTACCATGTTCAGGAAAATGGTCAAAGTAGGTGCTTAAATTGTTGATCATCAAACTAAGACGTCAATATAAATATTATATGAACTGTTTTGTATTATTTTATATGAGGTATTTTACATCACTACCATTCAAAAGTTTGGGGTCAGTAAGATTTTTGTTTCCTTGTTTAATGCTTTTATTCAACAAGGAAACATTAAATTGATCAAAAGTAAAGACATTTATGTTAAAAAATAATTATATTCAAATAAATACTGTTCTTTTGAACTTCTTATTCATCAGACCCGGATGAATGTATTACGGTTTCCACAAAAATATTAAGCAGAACAACCGTTTTCAACACTGATAATAAATAAGAAATGTTTCTTGAGCACCAAATCAGCATATTAGAATAAATAAAGACTGAAGTAATGGCTGCTTAAAATTCAGCTTTGCCATCACACAAATAAATTACATTTTCAAATATATTGAAATAGAAAACATTTATTTTAAATTGTAATAATATTTCACAATATTACTGTTTTACTGTATTTTTGATCAAACAAATGCAGCCTTGGTGAGCATAAGAAACTTCTTTCAAACACATAAAAAACCTTACTGACCCCAAACCTTTGAATGATAGTGTACATCAAAATTAAAATCAATAAAAATTACAATATTTTTAGGCCCCCACAATGGGGGGACAAACAAAATATAATGTGAGCTAATGGATTTGCACACACATTCTCTCTCTCTCATATGTGCACACACACATCTTCACTCCATGGCACAGAACAGAGACACATGACATGCAGCCTACGTGCAAAATTACAAAATCTGTTAATCATCATGCAATACCACTGCATCATGTTGATTGACAGCCTGATAATGTTACAGCCAGGGTTACAGAAAATACAAATCAGGCATGCATTCAAGTACAGCAAGACAACAGAATCACACAGACTCATGATTGAGCGATCAGAGAGAAAACAGTGGAAAAGGAAAGCCTACCTGATACTTTGGACTGCTGACTAGCATAACTGGACGTTCGAGAGTGTCCACACAGCCCGAGCTCATCAGGCAGAGAGCCACACTTCCCTGATGTCTCTGTGGACATAATTTCAGATTCAGTTCAGTCTTAATTAAACCTGCTCAATCACTTCTCCTATTTCCAACCTTAAAATACATAATACTGTATATCTAATGTAGTCATTTAGTATTCAGGCATTTGACTATTTAAATTAGGACTGTCGATTAGAAAAATAATATATGCATTTTAAAAGTGTTCAAAACTGAGTAGTTGGCGGAAGTTCAATATAATTAGAGTCCAATATAATTAGCTCATTTTAATAAATATATTTTCATTGAATATTATTTATAATATTATTATATTATTTATTGAATACTAACCATTGTTGCAACTCAAACCTTTAGTCCTCACAAAAAGAAAAACATATTATGGATATTAACAGGAATGTTGCTCAGCTGGCAATATGAAATTTGACAGCTAAATTCAAAATTTGATGGAGGTGTTGAATTGGATACAAAAGCTTTTTGATGGTTGTAACCTTTAAAATTGCTTGACATGCACACAGTTTTATTTCCTGTGTTGGCATATTTCTCGTTAAAACAGGAAGTTAGGACATGACTTTTTTTAAATTAGCCTTCCATTTACATCACATCTTTGAATCATGATTTGCTACTTGCGAAATCTAGTTGACAGCAGGTGGTGCATTAGTAGGAGGGACTTTCTCATTCTTGTAAGCATTTTATTGGCTAGAAATTTGCATATACCAAGATTAATAATTTTGTCATTTTATTTTATTTTTTGTCATTATTCATTTTGATCCCATGAAAAAAAAAATTTTTTTGTACATTTTAAGTATGCCAGCATAATTGTTGTTATTTTTAATAAAAAACACACTATTATAAATTGTTAACAATTAATACAAAAGTAGAAATGTTAGAAAAGTTCAAGTTGAAATACTAGAATTACTCAAACTATTTAAAAAAAAAAGACAAAATCACATAACAAATTTACTAAATCTTAAACTAAAACGAACATTTAAAATAAAAGCTAGTTCAAAATAATAAATACAATAATAATATATAAATAATACTAAAATAACACTGGCTAGCATATGCATGGCCTTAAATCTAACAAATTAAAACCCTCAATACTCTTAATATTAAAGCTGAAAAACAATTAAAAATATCTACATCAAATCGCTCAGATGCTGAAAGACTAGTTGATCATCCTGACCAATCTCTAGTAGTGGTTGACCGATATTGTTTTTTTGACAGCCGATGCCGATATCTTGGAAAGCAGGGTGGCCGATATAATTTTATTTATTTTAATTAATATTTAAGAAATTTTAAATCATTTTAAAATTTGTTAAAAAATAAATGTGTTAAATAAACATACTTATACTTTAGAAGACAAATTATTAATTACTCAAACTATTAAAAAAAAAAAGACAAAATCACATAACAAATTTACTAAATCTTAAACTAAAACTAAAATGAACATTTAAAATAAAAGCTAGTTCAAAATAATAAATACAATAATAATATATAAATAATACTAAAATAACACTGGCTAGCATATGCATGGCCTTAAATCTAACAAATTAAAACCCTCAATACTCTTAATATTAAAGCTGAAAAACAATTAAAAATATCTACATCAAATCGCTCAGATGCTGAAAGACTAGTTGATCATCCTGACCAATCTCTAGTAGTGGTTGACCGATATTGTTTTTTTGACAGCCGATGCCGATATCTTGGAAAGCAGGGTGGCCGATATAATTTTATTTATTTTAATTAATATTTAAGAAATTTTAAATCATTTTAAAATTTGTTAAAAAATAAATGTGTTAAATAAACATACTTATACTTTAGAAGACAAATTATTTTCACAAATAAATAAATATTTTATAAAAATATAATTAAAAAGGAAGGAACCACTGTAACCAACAGGGCACTCAGTATTCTGGGAAGTTTGTGTGCATTAATCATATTTTTTTAAATAAAGCCAAGGTAACACACATTTTACATACAGCACACAGTGAAAATGACATGAATATGACACTGGGCAAAAGCATGAAGCGCAGCTTAATTTAAAATCACGAGTTTAATGTTTGTCGATCGCTCGTCTCAGTGAAGCTGAACTCTCCTCCTGTCTGCATTCAATTCACACGGACCGACCGTCATGCAGAGAACACGCGATCATGCAAATGCACACTTCACAAGATCTCACAACTGGATCGGACTAAGTTTGCAAGTTCCTTTGTTTAACCGTTCTATCTGATTATTAGACAGGCTTCTATCCGTATTTAGACAGAACCGTTAACGACAACAGTGAACAAGAGGGAGAATGTGAGCACTGTGTGCCCCTTTAAAAAATGCCAAATATAAAATGCGATATATCAGTCGACCACTAATCTCTAGATTAGTCTGCTTCATCAAAAGAGTAGCATTTCTCTGCCAAAATCCCATGCTAACTCATATTTAACTCGAATAAGTCTCAAAACATTTCCCTCTGAACAAATGGTGATACTGATTAATTCATCAGTCGCCTCTAACAGAAAGCCACTTTGGCATCTTGTCTTTTATTTCATTAATATTTCAGATTAAATGGCCTAATATTAATATTAATATGGCTTTAATATTGTTCAATTCTTGAAAATAAAAATCACTATGGAAGTGGCACTGGGACTTGTAAGCTAATCGTATTTTATGAATTGTATGCCTGCTCTACATCATAAGCAGTCAGTCATCATACTGAATCACTATGAAAGCAGAGTCAAGAGCTGCACATGGCTAAATTATACATTAAAGACTGATGCTTTAGCCAGCCTCTGGATAGAAAAGGCACGCAGCATGTATGAGTGCAAAGAAAGGATAAAAGAGAGAGTGGGGGAAGAGAGAGCGCTCTTTCAAGCTCCCGTTAGTTCAGCAGAATCAAATCAAACTTACAGTCCTGTATTTTGCTACAAGACTGGATGCAGAATTAATAAGAAGCTTCTCAAAGAGTATTTGATTTGGACAGTTGATTAGAGTACCCAACATAAAAATACAAGAAATGAAACCACATTTAAGCACACAAAGGACAAATGTTTAGATTTTTTTTTGATTAACTGCAAACACTGCCTGGCTTGACCAATGCGTTTTGTGTGAGGTTTACCTGAAAGACTCGGTTTCTGTGTGTCTCCTCCTTTCCTGTCTTCCAGCAGGCTCTCTGCATCACCCTGAATGCCTATTACCGTTGCGGTGGATGGAGGCCTAATACATGGAGAACACGCAATCAAGAATATGGTTTAGATGGATTTGAATAAACAGACTGAAAAAAAAAAAAGCTGAATTAAAGAACTAAACCATCTGAAACCAAAAGCAGCCCCCAGAATCCCCGAACTCCATACTCTCCCCACGCTCCAACCCACACAGATGTTTTTAGCAGGTTTTTGCCTTCACGCACAGTGTGTGTACATGTGTGGGTGGACAGTGTTGGTTTCCAGTATGCAAATCTGTGTTCAAAGTTCTGATTTCCCCAGAGCGCTCATTCACACTACTTCTCAACATACACAGGTCATTTCTGAGAAAATACTATAATAGCAACTTCAAATGTTTAACAGGAAAAGGTCTCTGTGGGCAGGGCAGGATTTACGGGGCCGGGGGCCCCTGGGCTTGAGGTTATGTTTGGGCCCCATACCTATACTACAAATGCCCTCAACTAGAACATTATTATGGAGTAACACAAAATACACAAAAATTTAAATATGCTTTCAGGTTCATATACTGTATACAATTAATAGGCAACATGTCTAGCCTAGTCAAAGTTTAGATGTAATATTAAATAGTCACTATAATACAATAAACAGGATGTGATCGCTCAGTTGAGAGATCAAAACCCTGAAATAACACTGAGCAGAAAAAAACAAAGAGATGTATTATGAAAATGTATTGTCATATCTGTGTCCTTTTATGTCAGATTCCTAAATTTAATAAATTAAATCTGAATAATAAAACATGTTGGCTATTAACAGTCAAATGAAATCACTATAAACAAAATCCATAGATGGATTTTGCATAAGTTATGTTAAGTTTAAATACAACATTTTAATGTAGAAATATTAAATGATTGCAAAAATTGAAATAAGCTACTTTTTAAAATATGAAACTACAACCGCCAGTAGGTGGCAGCAAGTGACTTAAAGTGTCTTAATGAGTGAGCTGAATCCATAAATCAACCGATTTGTTTAAAATGCTAATTAATTTAACTTAGCAAACGACTGTACTTA